CTGTCAGGCTCTGTGCAGAGTCCCAGGGTGAGTGATCTGACAGGGGGTGTCAGAGGAGGGTGTGCACAGTCCTCACTCTCCTGTCAGGCTCTGTGGACAAGAACTGAAAATGAGTCAATGACACTGGCAGAGGATGGTGTGTGAGAGCAGGGACTCAGGGTAATGGGTGGTCACTTGCAGTACTTGTACCAAGCCAGGTGAGGCCTGCTGTCCTGTCCCTTCAGCTTTGGGTTACTGAACTTGCATCCAGTCCAGAAATCACCAGTCGTTACTCCTGGCTTGACACTGTACTCCTTTGCTGCACAGGAGAGGATGAGGTGTCTCTGCCATACCAGGCTCCAAAAAAAAGCTTGCCCTGGGCTTCCCAATATGACTGATCCACCTAGCATCTTTACTTGCCTCCCTGCTAATTAGAAGAATAGTTCTTACTGGACCACGCCCACATTTACCCAAGACTCATCCTCAAACCAAACTCCTCATCCTCGGCCTCCAGCTCTCACCAGCGACTCTCTCCCACAGCGACCAGACTGGTACAGTAAGCCCCAGCAGGGTGTCCTCTTCACTTCTCACAACAGTCTCACGTTAGCAGCCTTAAGAATAAAACAAGCCTTAAAATGATTTGATCATCATCGTTAAAAAGCAAACCAGGGGTCACTGCAGGCCCCAGTTTCAGCCCACTCGGCACACTGCTGTTGTCCTCACTGTTTCGGCTGTGGCGGATTTGATCGATGTCAACCCAGGCAAAAAAAAACTCCCCTCACCATGTGTAAAAGCAGTGTAAAGATTCGACCGTGTTGCTACAGTACAAGAAAGCCTCCCTCTGCACACACCCGGAGGAAAGTTCAACTCGCACTGCTCTTCACACAAACTGCCACAAGGGGGCATCTGCACCCCCCCCATAAAATGGGCTTTAAAACCAGGGCAGGGGAAAGTTACTTTAAAAAGCAATCCAATACAGTTCCTCATGTAAGGGATTAATTTTTTAAATGAGGACTGAAGGGAAGCATAACTTTAAAAGTCAGCAGGGTGTCAAGTAATCTGTGTAGTATACAAAGAATTATTCGATATATTACTGCTTCAAGGCGTCCACTTAACTAAAATACACACTTTGTAAATGTCATGAATTACTTTTGAAAAGTAACTTTCTGCAACACTGTTCCAAACCTCTGGCAGTGATCCAAAACAAAAAAAGCAAACAAAAAAAAGTCAATTTCCCTCGGAAAAAGACCAAGTCCCCCCCCTCCCTCCCCCCTGTAGTGTTCCTTACGTCACGGGAAAACACAGTAAAACACAATTACCCCCCTTTTAACTGAAAAAAACCTAGTGTTTGAGCACTGAATGTATTTTGTCTCAGTGTGAGTGGCACGTCTTCCAACCCCCAGGCCCCAGCCCCCCCAGAAATAAGTCCTCTGCCTGTAAAGTGCTTCCGCAGTGGAGCTTTGGTACATCAAGAGCGCGAAGGACCTGCAGCCGGTCCCAGACAAGGGGCTGGAGAGCGTTAGTGGACGTGTTCAGTGGTAAGGGTCCTGGTCTTGGTCTGTCGGGAGGCACCTGGTCTGAGCTCCCCCCAGAGAGCCAGCTCCCCGGACCTCCCCACCGACAGTCCCGGAGACTGCTCCCGGCGCACTCCTGGATCTCCGAGACACAGATTACCGGCAGCTTCCGAAGCTCGGGAACGGTGCAGCGTCCTGGAGAGGGAGGGGAAACCCGGAACCCTGGGTCCCGGACACCTAGCGGCCGCAGCCCACGACGCAGGGTCCGATGGGGATCTGGGTGAAGCCGCTGGCGGTCCGGACTGCCTCTAAGCCCGAGCGACTGGGAGGGTTGGGAAGCAAAAGCGCCCCGGCAGGCCAGCGGCCCCCAACACAAGGACATCGACCCAGAGACAAAACCGGAGGAACCGCAGGCAGCAAGGGAGGAGAGGGAGCGGGAGGAGGCGACAAGGGAAGGAGAGGAGAGAGAAAACCGTTCAGAACCGCAACACCGGCAGGCGAGCCTGGAGGACTCCAGAGCGGTGTGTCAGACTGGCGTCTCCCGGTTCTTGAGATCGGGGGCGCTGAACTGGCGCCGCATTCTTGGGGGGGTGGTGTAACCCTGAAACTTGGGGCTCCCCCCGCCCTGTCTCTCCTGCGGGCTGTGCTGGCGGCCGTAGCCGGGGAACTCGCCGTCGGGGGCGCCCCGGGGAGGGTGGCAGAGCTGGGCGAAGGGCTGGGCGTGGCTGTGATAGGGGTGGTGGTGGTAGCCGGACTTGCGCTGGTGCTGCTGCTGCCGGTGCTGTTGGTAGTAGCCGTCCCGGTTCTGGTGGTACCCAGAGGGCTCCCGCTCTTGGCTGGGGTTGGAGGACTGGCGCCGGTACCTGGGCCGGTGGTTGTGGTTGGCGTGGGTGTTTGGGGAGGGCACCAAGCCCGAGCTGGGACTGGGCACGCCGGAGCTGTCCAGGGAGTTCCTCCGGTAATGGGCGGGATGGTGGTACTGGTGGTTACCGTGGTGACCGCCGTTGCCAGGGTATCTTTGGTGCTGCTGCCAGGCTCTCTGGGGGCTGGGTGTCCGCATCCTGGGGCTGCTGTTGCCGCCCGGCTGCATGATGATGGGCAGGGACATCGGCAAGGGCATCTGGAGGGGCAGCGGCAAGGGCAGGGTCAGGAGGGGCATCTGCGTGGGGACACTGCCCAGCGCGGGCCCCGGGGCAGGGGGTGCCAGCCCCTCGCCAGCCTGGCTCTCGCTCTGGCCCTGCGTCTCGCTCTCAGCCTGCCTGTCGGCCGGCGGGGCCTCCTCCCCCCCCAGCATGAAGGCCGTGTTGGGGTCCCAGGAGTAGCGGTGCTGGGGGTTGCTCTTGAAGGGGAAGCGCAGCTTGCAGTCCTGCGGGGGGATGAAGCGGCCCGTGCCGGGGAGGCAGGGCCCGCTGCCCGCGCCGGCGCCCTTGCGGAGACGCTTGGTGATCTGCTGCTGCTGCAGGTTCTGGAGCCGCGCCTGCTCCTGCTTCAGCCAGCGCAGCCGCCCGCGCCGGAACACCGGATCCTCCTCCATCAGCCGGGACACGCGCTCGTCCTTCGACAGGTCGTCCAGAGACGACGCGCTGCCCCTGTCCCCGTCCTCCTCCTCCCCGCTGCGCCCTTCGCCCTCACCCTCGCCCTCGCCCTCGTAGTGCAGGAAGTCCTCCTCGCCTTCCTCGTCCTGCAAAACAAGCCAAGACAGGGTCATGGGCACAGCGAGCACACAGAGACGGCCGGGAGCAGAGAATCCTCCAGGGGGCACAATCCTGGAAGGGCACTGCCCCTGACCGGACATCTGTATCTGCAGAGCAACACAGACTCCACGTATGCTCAATCCAGATGCACACGCCTTTGCACAGAGGGCTGTGGGAGTCTGGAACAACCCATCCAGCCACTCAAGAACGACCAGCTTGTCTGGCTTCCCCAAGGATCATATCATCCCAAGACCAGTTTAATAAATCACATCTGGGGCAGCTCATTCCAGACCCCCACCACTCTGTGCAAAATGAGCCCTTTCCAATTTCAGCCCCTTGAAAACGCACTGGAAATCTGTTTCACTTGCATTAGAGAGGCATTGACTTTTCCGTCCACAGAATCGCCCAAAAACAGAACTTGTTAAACTTCAAACTGAACTGCGAACCCCCTGCACAGCACCCTGCAGTACCACCGCAGAGCTCAGGCGTCAGAGGGGGGACTGACGCAGCTCTCTCCAACAGCTCTGTGCGTCTACAGGCACGCAGGCTTCCCAAAGGGGGCCGCTTCAGCACAGAGCCCACCCTGGGGTAAGCGCTGCGTGGACTTTTGGGGCTCAACCTGAGCCCCATTTGAGCGTCTTTACTGGCCGCTCTGATTAAACTCATCTGTCCCACAGTCGGGGTCCCCCACCTGCCCTCCGATGCTCGGGATGACGCTCTCCATCTTGACCATGCGGTCCCGCAGCGACCGGATCTCTTCGTCCTTCATGTTGTTCTGCAGCTTGACCTCCTGCAGGATGTCGGTCAGCTTGTCGATGTGCGCCTTCAGGTCGTCCACGTCCGCCTTGCCGCCTCCCTCCCCTCCGCCTCCCTCCTCGCCGCCGCCGCCGCCACCCCGGTCCTCGCCGATGCCCACAGTGTCCCAGACGTCCCGCGCCACCCCCCGCCAGGTCTCCTTCTCCTGCGGGTCCTTCTTGGCATACATGCGGCACAGCTCCTTCATCTTGACGATGGCCAGGGCCTCGATCTCCTGCCGTGAGTGCCTGAAGTCGCCCAGCGCCACCTCGTAGCAGATCTCCTTCACCGCCTGCATCTTCAGGTCGGCCAGCGTCACCCACTTGGGGTCTTTGCTGATGCGGCGGCGCTGGGGGATCTGGTAAACGCGCAGGGGCTCCCGTTTCTTACCGCTGCTGGGCAGTCCACAGCGCTTCACGATGGACTGGACCTGGAGAGAGAGGGGACACAGTGTGCGACACACGGCGGAATTATCACACCGTCCCCACAGCACAGGGACACAGAGTGGACACATCACACCGTCCCCACAGCACAGTGACACAGAGTGGACACATCACAC